GGGTGGTCCATAATTCTTATGAAGACCGTTTAAACGTAGCTTTCACGACGTGCGAATTTCACGACGACACAAACAGACGATAACTGTCAAAATGACTAGGCGATTTGGCTCTTTATCAGAGACATAAATGTATTACATGTTGATCAAAAATCATGATATGTCTTTAATTTAGTTAAAATTTTTATTTATTCTATTCTATTCTATTCTTAAAGTCCGGGTTTTTTTTGCCTATTTACATTTAATTAATATTGAATTTGATTAACAAAAATGGAATAACAACTCCTAGATCATCGGTAATCGGTAATCGGAATATTAAAAGAAGAGCATGATTTTTTCTGCATTGCTTACAAAATCCGTCTAGGGTTTGAGATATTTCACACACTGAACAAGTAAAATTATTATTGAAAGCAAATAATAGTAAAAATAACAGCACAAAACAAGGGGATGGAAGGATTTAGATTCGGTATAATATAACAAATAAAACAAGGCCATGTTCTATTTCTTAAATAAACCCCATTTAGGGACTTTTCTGTTCTAATGTTGTTTGAAACCGGTTGTAGCTTAAAGATAAAAGTCAGATAGATAAGTGATAGCGTCTGTGTAGATGAGCTACGCAATTCGCTGGTCAGAGATTTCCCGCAAATATTACGAAAATTTTCAAACATTATTTTTTGTGTTAGATACATAGGTAAATGTGTAGACGTAAGATAATTATTAAGTGACGTAATGGTCAAGTCCACTATAACGGTGTAAAACAGTTATCATATTGTATTTATCATCTTTCAACGATATAAATAAAAAACTACTAATTTGCCAACTGTCCACTTAACGCAGTAGGTAAGACTGTCAGTTAAATTTCTATTTGAATATCAATGCAAGGCAGGTTCGATTCGCAAAAATTATTTCTGTATGAAGAATATTTTTACTGTGTTGTGTTATTTTTTATTTACTTCTCATTTCACTTTTTCTTTTGTTTTCAATGTAGGCATATCTAGCAAGTTGGTGAAACCTTATACTGCACACAAGAACACAAATTGTTTCATCTATAGTTCTGTTGGCACGAAATATTCGTGCACTGCACAAGTACTATGACTACTACATAATGATCAAGACACAAGATAAAAATATTATTATCGGTATATTAAAAATATTAGATATTATATCAAAACTACCTTGATATTCCAATTCATTTGCATATATCATAAAATTGAAAAAAAAAGGAGAGAAAAATGTTAGACAATTTCTGAGGCTCAAACTCGTGGTAAAATTTTAAGTCGTATCGTATACCAACAACTTTACCAAATTTGCCATCAAATGGTACTTCTCATCTTGTATTATATTCTCTTCTTCAAAAAAGCTGTTTTATCTATAATCCTGAGATGATAATTTGGTCTTAACGGTACTTGGGAAAGTCCATTAAAGGGTACGTCTGCATATTATCAGAGATTAAAAGTGTCAACAAGTATATATAGTATAATTTCTAATAAGAATGTGTACCATCGTAGTGGTTCAGTTAATTTGGTAAATCAAGGTCAGTGTAACTTCTTATAATTTGCACCCTAAGCTCAGACATGTCATAATGATGATGTCATTTTGCTTTTTTTCTTTTTACTTTTGTCTGTCTTTTGTATGATCATTTGAAAATATTTTGTTTTTCTAAATTTCTATTTCTATTTTTTTATTTATTTTTTGGTTCCCCTTGTTGTAAAGCAAACCACTACATGCCAAGTGATTAATTATTTAATTTAATTTAACATTTTAAAATTCAAACTACATGCATTTTAAACGCACTACGATTGCGAAATATTTATTTGAATATATCGATCAAAGTGACATTACGCTCATATTTTCATAGTCAAGAATTGACTTTATATTTCTCAAATTGACTGTTAAAATGGTGTCTGACCAACCGTTGATATTGGAAAATGTTCAGGATAATAATATAAATTTGCCTAAAATATAACAAGACTGCCCCACTCTTTTTATAAACTAAGCGTTATAGGTAAATTCTAATGGATATTTACAGAAGTTTTGTTTAGATCTGTGCATTATTTATTGTTTATGTGAAGTAAATTATTGATTGAAAAGGAATAATGGCAAAATGAAAACTTATTTTGATATTCACCTGTTAACTCACTATATACCCTTGGATTGGCATAATGTCACTTTAATATATAACATACTTTACTTCATTATATTTTTACATTTCTGATAATGCTTTTTTGGACAGATGTTTGGCGTTTTCTCTAACTGTACACAAGTGCATATCAACCCATGTCCAAAAAATATCTCATGCATTTGTAACTAGTTGTAACAAAGCAGGTCAAATAAGATAAAGATACGTAAGACAGCCAAATGTAAAAGTACTTAAGGTGACAACGGGGTAAATTATCAAAATTTATTACTATCTTATTTGTACAACGTACCATGCACGGACTTTAAAAGTCTGTCAGGAGCACAGTTTTTTGTTGTTTTTTTTTTAACTTATAATTTAACGGATTATCAAAGTGACACTAATATAGTATAATTATTATAATGATGATGATGATGATGCTTAATAATAATAATAACATCAAAAGTGAAACAATATGATTACCCGATAACAGTACGAACGTTAAATGCATACCATTTTATCTCACTGGGTGCCTCAAATTTAAACGATAGTCACGTTAAGATTTAAAGAAATTCTGCTATAAAAGGATATTTATCGGCTGCTTTTTAATTGGTCAGATGTCACTGGGTCATAAAAGTTGTTATCGCATGGTTTGGAACTTTTCCTTTGTTCTTACTAACCCATTATACTCAGTACAGTGCAATGAGCATTTGAAAAGTGTATTGATATATAACAGTACAGTTTTTTCATTGCTTCATATAGGAAAAAAACTCGACTGATATATTACGGTTGAGTTTTTTTCGCACCTGTTTTATATAAATGCTGTTTGTTTTGTTTTTTCACAGAGGCTCCAATGGTTCAGTGGTAACGAACATTCCCAGTAGCAAAAAAAATGCAATCAATAAAATAAAATAAACAAATACAATGAAATATATAAACAAAGATAATTAATGAAATGAAATTTACTCTCATTTAATCAAAAAGGCACACCGCTGAATGAATTATTTCCACTGAAAAAGCTCTTTAATTAATCTTGAATCAATATTGGTAACAGTTTACAATTCGGCTCTAACATTGGATGTCTCTTGTACATCATTTTTTTTTGCGGCAGCGAAAACAACTTGAAAAACTGCCTTGTCATGAATAACTGTAATGTATTTATTTATTTATTTATTTAATCATTTATTTATTTATTTATTTCTATTACAAAAAAAGAAAACATTATGCTATTCCAATAAAACAGTTATAGTATATGAAACTCGTAAGTTACGGGGGTATAACACTGGCTTGGGCGATATCTCGGGATGTGTCTGAAAAAAAATTGTCTCGGCCTAACGACCTCGACATTTTTTAGCAGAAACACCACTTGATGTCGCCCCAGCCACCTCGTAACTAACTCGTTTCATGTACTATAACTATTACTTATATCTATTAGTATATGTGACTGCATCGTGTCACCCCCTTTGGTGTGATATTTGCGTGTTATACAATAATTTAACGGAAAACGCAGTGGTCTGAGAGAGAACAGCCGATTTATTACACTTCTAATGATGCGCGTCGGACTTACTTTTTTAATAAACAAGCAATTTGCATGCGGTTTAAAGCGCATGAAAGGGAATTCAATTACGGAGGAAACAGTGTCAAGGATTTTTGTTTGCTCAATCAGCGACTGAATAATTAAGTTATATCTATGGTGAAAAAGTCGCATAAATTGTTCAACAAGACGTAACGTAAAAGATAGAAAAAATCTGAGACCGTGCCCCCGAGATATTATAATTATGTTTATATTCCAAGAGTTTGGTGACAAAAAATTTCACCACCAACTTTACCATTTCATCAATTTTTATTGATAAAAATAACATTTCTACAACAATTACATTTTTGGCCGTCAGGCTACTGGCCCGCCAACTCCACAAAAATGACAAAATAAAAAAGTTCTCTGAAAGTGATTTTTCTTTTAATATAATATTATCCTTGAAATAACAAGAATTATCTTTAAAACTTCATAACATGCCGTTTTATTGTTAAAATAACATTTGTACAACATTAAAATTTTTGGCCGTCAGGGCACTGGGCCGCTGGGCCGCCAACTTCACAAAAATGACAAAATAAAAAAGTTGTGTAAAAGTGATTTTTCTTTATATATTTCCTTTAAATAGCAAGAATTGTCTTTAAAACTTCATTTCATGCCGTTTTATTGTTGAAATAACATTTCTACAAGATTATTTTTTTGCGTCAGGCCGCTGGGCCGCCAACTTCACAAAAACGAGAAAATAAAAAGTTCTTTGAAAGTGATTTTTTTAATATACCTATTAAATATCAAGAATAGTCTTTAAAACCCCATAAAGTAACGTGTTTTCATATTTATAACATTTCTACAACATTGAAATTCCGGCTGACAGGTCGCTAGAGATAAAAAAAAAACTGTCTAAATGCATATTTTTTTCTTTTATTTAACTTTAAAGGGTAAGATATGTCTTTAAAATTCAATTAACAGTCGTTTTAATTGCTTTGCCAAACTTAAATTCATTTTTAAGTTCAGGCCGTCAGGCCGCTTGGCCGCTGGGCATCTGGGCTGCCAACTTCACAAAAATGACAAAATAAAAAATCACTGAAAGTGAGTTTTCCTTTTAATATATCCTTTAAATAACAAGAATTATCTTTAAAACTTCATTACATGCCGTTTTATTGTTAAAATAGCATTTCTACAACATTAAAAATTTTTTGCGTCAGGCCACTGGGTCGCTGGGCCGCCAACTTCACAAAAATGACAAAATAAAAAATTCTTTGAAAGTGATTTTTTCTCTTTATTTATCCTTTGAATAACAAGAATTTTCTTTAGAACATCATTTAATGCCGATTTATTGATAAAATAGCATTTCTACAACATTTTATCTGAAGAAGAATAAATGCCGAAAGCTTAGAAAAGCGTTTGCTTTTATTTAACTGATTATATATTATTTTCTCATATTCCAGTCGTACGTATTACAATCTTACATATATATCTTCATATTTTATATGTGTGTTAGCTGCAAGCTTTATTTTGATTGGCGAGCTTATTACACATTTTACATAGTCGTATTAACTGTATATGTATACAGTACAAGGGACATTTTAGATAAAGATTCATCGGACTGATCGTAAACGTTATGGTGGTATGACGATATTTTTTCCTGCCATTAAATTTTTGATAAATAACGTTTGATACAACTTAGGTATTAGATAATGCGCTTGCAATCTTTTTCCTTGTGCCTGAGATAAGGCTGATAATTATCCATTTTGTCATATGATATGCTTCTGTCTACGTTTTTTTTTTAACCAATCCATTAAAAGTAGACTTCGTTCATGCTTGTAATGTATTCTTTTAAATATACGAGTCCAATACTTCGAGATAATTACGCTATGATATGAGGATGTTGCAGAGAAAGGGAACATATGAATTATAGATGTCACGTATTTGTGATTATTATGTGTCTAATTAATGAAAAGAAAATTATATGACGACATAGAGCATGAAAGTTGAAAATGCGAAGAAAAAAAATAATTACACCTTTTATTATTATCTTTGGATTACAGCTACTTTCTGGTAAGTAATTGAAATATATTTGTTTTGGAGAAATGTAACTTCTTGATGAAAATACTATTTTGTACAAGCCTATATCATAAGAATAAACCAAAACATTCTCTTTATACGTAGCATAAAGAATGTAATATTAACCTTGATATTGTCATATCTTCTTAACAGTTTCAATTTATTTTAGGAGTTTTATCTTCTTAGTAAATTCTTGCTAATATTTTGTTTCTTTAAGATTAAAAACAATTACTACACATTTTATTCTATTGTATTGTAATTTATCGTATTTTGCTGTCTTGGTATTTACCACAGGTGGCAGTATCAGTGTATGGACTACCCACACCTATCTGCCCCTGGACCCCTACTACAACCCTGAAAAAATAATTCAACACTCTATGGCTGACTATAAGGTATCAAAAACAAAACACCAATACAATTATTTATATAAAAACATTTATATTCTACTATCAAAATTATAGTTATAGAAGGGTGAAAAGCCTACTATAGGTTCATTTGCCAAAGAATGTGGAATACGGGAAATCGTCGTTTCGGTTACTGGGGCGCATTCGGCTGCATTTCGCTGCATCATTCACTAACATCAATAAAAAGAACTAGAAAGAACTAGAATTCCACAGCTTACCTAATTCAAGTCCAACGAATATCAATATTCTATCGCTTTTTTTCTGTTTCATTGTATATTTTGACTTGTCGCTGCCATTTTGGATTCTGATACCTGTGTGATATACGCAATCTGATTGGACGTCCGATTTGGCTCGTCCAATCAGATCGCATATTACAACCCAGGTATCAGACTGCAAAATGGCTATGACAAGTCAAAAATATCGTGAAACAGAAAAAAATCGGAATGATTTTGATATGTGTTGGACTTGAATTAGGTAAGCTGCGGAATTCTAGTTCTTTTTATTGATGTTAATGAATGATGCAGCGAAATGCCGCCGGAATGCGCCCCAGTCGCCGAAACGACGATTTCCCGTGTTCCACATTCTTTGGCAAATGAACATATAGTAGGCTTTTCACCTTTCTTTAACTATAATTTTGAAAGTGGAATTTTTTATATAGATAATTTTATTGGTGGTTTTTGTATTTGATACCTTATAGTTAGCCATAGAGTGTTGAATTATTTTTATCAGGGTTATAGTAGGGGTCCAGGGGCAGATAGGGGTGGGGTGTCCAAACACTGATACTGCCACCTGTGGTATTAACTAGCATGAACTTAATTTGTTATCTGTAGACCTTATCTGCATTTGCTTTCAAAAAATGTTGTACATAGGATTACAAAAGACGAAAAAATGATTTAAAAAAAGTTTTAGTATGTCACAATGCAGTTTCGTCAATGCGAACTATAATATACGTAAATATGATTTGTTTTATGAATTTGTTTTTAAATCATGTCAAAAGATACTTGGATAGCACTGGAAACAAGTTTATTGCCACATCAGAATTGTTTGTGCCATGTGAAGGCCGTAAAAAATCGCCACGTACATTCAATCAGAGATGTTATAACTCAGGTCCTTAAAAATCGATCAGCAAGAGTTTTGTGTTATTTCAAATGATTTACATAAAACAATGCCATCACAAAAAGCGTTTTTATAACTGAGTTAAACTTTAATAATAAATAAAAAATCTGGTAACAAAATGGTCCCTCGGAAGCATCAATTACAACAAAATTACATGAAAATTGCGTCTGTACATGAGGTATAATAATGATATGTGCAACAGTCCTCACGCTTCCTTGCATCGATTTGAGCGGTACTCAGTTCTCAACACTTAAAAGTGCAGGCATTAATGATTACGAAGGACCTCAAAAATATAATACATTAATTTTTTTCTTGAATAAGAAATGCAGCAAGAATATTTAATATTACTATTTTACCTGGTAAATCATGCTTATATTTCATTTCTGTGTCAATTATTTTACCTTTCCCATATTTAAATATTATGTTCTAAAGGAAAGTGTTTTACTTTTAAATTTAAATCTATAACGTTGGCATTAAAACACTGAGCAACACAAATATTTTTTTTTTAAAAAAGCTTCAAATAGTTTACTCTGCAGTCATTGATATGTAAGCCTTTTAAATACCTGAAAATTTAAATAAACATTTCAAATTCTAGGAATATGCTACGTTGCGGAAGATCCAAATCAAAAGAAAGAGAATTATAGAAATAAACAAGAGGTAAATAAATATAAAACAATAATATTTTTCGCCATGTATCTTTAAATGTAATTATTTCGATATATTCACTCTCAAAGGTAAATAACATGTCGACTTACAGCAGCAATGGATTATTTTTTGTTTTAATAATGTTTAGACTAATAATAATTTTGAATGTAAAAAGCATCTATTACATATATTGTATATTCTGTTTTCTTAAAATGTATTAAAGCATTTAACAAATTAACACAAGAGCCGGTTGAACTAAGTTTTGCTCCCCGAATAGGTTTTGGACACAGAAAAGTATACCTTTTTTAGTTTCAGAGTTATGTCCCAGACAAAGTTCAATAATTCCAAAGCCGAGTGACTATTCTTTGCACTGCACTTCTCCTCAATGACATTTACCTACCCACAAAGTGTCTTGTTTATCTCTATTACACTTCCAGAGATATGTCTTGTAGAATGTTCAAAGTGCAAAAATAGACAAAGGGCAATAACACCAAAATTAGCCAAAGCATAGTTAAGGATGTTAAGCACAGCATTTTTTACCTAATAAGATCTATCTTCCTAGAAAGTTTGATGTTGGTATCTCTTATTGTTTCAGAGTTATGTCCCGGACAATGTTCAAATTGAGAAAATGAACATCGGGCAAAAACTCTCAAATTTGGCAAGGCAGAGTTATAATTCTATTACACTGCACTTCTACTCAATGAGATCTATCAATCTACAAAGTTTCATGTTGATACCTTTGTTAATTCAGAGTGATGTCATGGACAAAGAATAAAGAAGGACGGACAGACAGACGGAAGGATGGACGGACAAAGCTGAGACTATATGCTCAACCTTCTGGGAGCATGAAATATATTTGCATAAACATTTAGATTACTCCTGGAACAAAACACATAACCTTCGAACAGTCCATATAAATATTAACAGACATAAAGTTTTCTTTTCCTTTTCCTGGATTATTTACATATATACCATTGCCATTTACAATAGCTGTTAACTATTTTATCTATTTTTGCTAATATGTCAAGAGAGAAGACATGAACACTTTCCCATACTTATATTTCTGACATATTTTCAATTTCATATATTCTAAAATGTAATAAACTGTATCAGCTTTGAGATTTTTTTTCACATAAAGATTATTGAAATCTACTCTGAATATGTCTTATTGTTTACATAAATGAATAAACTATGTATGGGATGCTGCGTTTCCAATTACAGGTCAAGTAAAGTTGGACTGTTTAAAAAAACTGCCAGGTCTTTTTGAATGGCACTATATATTTATATCGAGACCACTTGTCGTGTAGCATTTTAAACATAACATATCTGCTTTGTGTTTAGTCAAAACATATTAATTTATATTAACAATGAATTGTGTAGCAATCATCATTTATCCTTTTTTACTTATATCAGATATGAGCACAGTATATCTTTAACGTTGGTGCAAAACATAATAAAACAAATATTTTATAGATTTTTATTTTCAGGAAAAGTGTTTCCCTTCGAATGACATAATTGTGAATAATACAAAAAGGTTTGATATACTATATAAAGCATGTAGACATTTAGGCTATTCTGAGGATGTAAATTTAACGAATATAAGGGCACATATGTCACCAAACCTAAAGCTTTTGTACTGTAGAGTTAATAAATGTGCATCCACAATGACACTTGAATTACTTAAACAGTTGTTTAGCTGTGATACAGAATGCTTAATACAAAATGCTGAACGTGTTCGTCTAAATGTTAACGCAAGACAGGTGATGAATGATGCATTTTCATTTATGGTTGTTCGTGAACCTTATGGACGTTTGTTTTCCACTTACTGCAACATTTTCTATTTTCCAAAGGAAGATTGGCTTTACAGAGGAACTAAACTTATTAAACTTACACGATTAAATATTTCAAATGACAGTCTTTTGTATGGGCATGATTTATCTTTTTCTGAATTAGTAAAATATACTGTGGACACATTTGAAATCGGTGACCGTTTGGACGAACATGTGCGACCAATGCATCATAAATCATGTAATCCATGTTCCTTTAAGTTTGATTATATTGTACATCTTGAGACCTTACAAAACGACTTTGATTTCATTTTTAATAAACTACAGGAAGAAACAGTAGAAATGTATAAAAAAGATATCGTAATCTCCTTGAAAAAATGGACTACTTTAGGACCGATAAAGCATTTATTCAAAACTATTCCTTTGTTGAAAGGTTCTAATATATCTATGTATGATGTGTACCTGCGTGCGTGGTGTTATTACCAGATAACAGGTCAGGTTTTAAAAACAATCAACTTCCCATATAACGAAAGCGATCTGATTGACATTAAAAAAGAAGATTTTTTAAGACAGCTGACGAAAGCGATGAATGTATCAGCGGTTTATAAAGATAAATTAAAATTACAGAGAGCGGAAGCGATGATTCAAGCTTATTCAACAATATCTGATGAATATATGGAGCGATTAAGCAATGTCGTTTTAGGCGATTGTCTTTTATTTGGATATGACAACAAACCGGCACATATATTTGATAAAATTAGTTGTTTACAGAAAAATTCAAAATTTGATTATTTCAAGGGTTTGTGAATCATTTAAGACATTTTGGTCAATGCAAGTGGAGTGTTAAGAATATTTAAAGCTACTGTAATTTTCAGTACCATAGAAAGATGATGTATGAACATCTATAAATGATTTAGATTAATACTAGCATAGTGCATAATGTTTGTTTATTTTTGTTAGTATGATAGCTGATATAAAAACGTTAAATTTTTAAAACAAGCAAGCAGATAAAAATTCGTATAAAGTCCGAAAACAGTTGTACTTTTTGTTGCCCATAATTATCTCACAGTTTCTTTTGCTATAATAAATTCAAATCACTTTCATTTTTCTTATCTCCCATGAACAGGGACTCATTTTGGCCGGATCATTTCTTTCTTAACTTTTGTTTTCATTGACCTCGATGGTCAGTGAAATGTTACACCATTCTCTATAGATAAGAAAACAAGTAAAATGGTTCTGCGGGGAACATTTTTAATGATTTAAAGATATTTCATTTAACTATTTTCAACATTGTTTGGGGGAAAAATTAAAAGAAAATTAACGTTTGTATCAGGAATATAGTTGACAAAAATCGATCATTAGAAGAATGTCTTGGCCTTGGTCGAAAATAATTTAAGAAAATGATTAAATACCATTGTATGAATAATTCCTTGCAAAAAATAATAAAATAAAGTAAACACACAAGTTTACGCAGAAAATATCTTTATCTATTTTGGCAGATGCCACAAACGAATGTTTTAATTCTGTGGATTTTCACTATAAACAATTTATTGTTTGTAAAATTTCAGATAGATATTAAAGAAACATTGATAATATTTTCAAACACATTATGCAAGTTTTTCCATCTTAACCGTTAAAATAATAATAGAAAATTAGAAATATCACGTAATAGTGATATGTTCTTAATTAGGTGTAATTCGGACGAATTCCCTAGCATTGTGTACATCGGTCATTTGAGAGACCGGTGTGTATACAATGATTCCCTAGAGGTAAATCCGTAACGTACCGGGAAACTAGGTTTTCGAATAGGTCAATTAACCAATCATGTACGGTTTACAGATCACATGCTCCTCCATGTACCGAAAACAGGTCACGTGCTCCTCCATGCCTCAAAAATTAAACGCGTACCAATACACTGCGGCCTCCGGCCCGCAGGGAATAAGAATAATCAATTGTATTATCAATCATTATGCCTCAAATGTCGTCAAAATAAAAGTTTATAGAAAGGAAACGTTGTGTTGTTTTTTAATACACGTCAAATACGTGCAGCAAGTGCAGAAATACATTAAAATGGATTAAGCGGATATTTAAAAAGAGCTCATAAAACAGATAGTGTAGACGTACTAATATGCCCAGATTGCAGCAAATACGATCATTTCGTTACTTGTCCTAAACAATTACCACTCATAAAGAATGTTAGTACGAGAAGTTAAATAAAGACAAAGTTAAATTTGACCCAGATATTAAGCACAACAGTCAGAAATGATAGACATTTGAAATCACGTTAACAAGCTTAAAGAAAGTAGCAAGTGCCCTAAACCAAACATTTTTAGGCATATTGAACTACATTTAATAACATTGCGTTTACAGACTGTTATATGTCATTGTTATATGTCACCATTGACCTATATTTATTATAAAATAATTGATTGTATACCATGACACTCATGGGTTTGTAACCTTTTGTGAATAAATATATTATTATTATTATTATTATTAATTATTATTATTATCATTATTATTATTATTATTATTATTATTATTATTATTATTATTATTATTATTATCATCATCATCATCATTATTTAATAAAAAAATCACATAATGCAATACTCCGAGAAAATAGAGAGAAATAGAGAATTCCTAAAGAAAATTGAAAATGTTGCAGACTCGGTTTGATTGAGTAAGGTCATGGACCTGAATTGAAAGGGTGATTTAAGTGTTAGTCACATATTTCTATTATCTTCTTCCTATTTCAAAATGGTAGTAATGGTCGATTGTTCTATGTTTATCATTTACTTTTCATCATCATCAAGGAACTCCACCGATAACCATAAGCCTTAAAACATGAAGTTTGATTTTCTTACATAGATCAGCTTGGGCACTTACACCTATTACAAAAGGCTATTGAAAGGATGTTTAAGAAACATTATTAGAAATAATTCAAAATCATTTTTGTAAGCTATACTAAACCATACCATACATGTTTTATAGGTTCTTTACAAATTCAGTCACATAAAACTACAATTTAGTTTAGAACACTCGTCATAGTGTTTTCCAAAATAGACTCCCAGTACTTTAATTGGTTTAGTCGGCTATGTTAAATGTCCTTCTTTATCAGTTAGTGATTTACCGCATAGCTTCAGTTTTTGTCCTGTTGAGTTGTAACCCCGAGTATTTGAAAAACTGCTCTACCTGATTTACTGCATTTAGTTTATTTTGTTGATTATTTTGGTTTCTTCAGCAAGTTGTGCTATTTAAATTGGTGAATAATTAATTTCAAAGTTTATTTCTTCTATATTATTCGAGTTCCTTATTTCAATGATTATTATTTCAGTAGCTAAAATGATTAAAAGAGCACATAATGGACATCCCAATTTGATCCCTTGGTTTCAATTAAATACATCTCTAATTTATATCCATTGTTATAAAAACTTCATTTAATATCATTACAATAATTATATAATTATATATATTTTGTCGAGTCATGATATTAAAGACAATCTAAAATACACCCCAAGATATTAATCTTACACAAAACAATAAATCAGACATCAATGCTAATTAGAACAAACTTCGTTATGACTTGTTTTAGATGATATTTGCTCTCCTTTATTTAAGAAGAGAATTAATGCAAACGCCAAAAAAAAGCTTGCTGATGTAAATGTAAAAATACACAATTGCCTTATTTCATGTAGGATGTAAAAGTTTTAAACAGAGTTATTATAGATGTTTAAATATATTTAGAAAAAAATTCATGTTATTTAACCAGGGTATCTATGATAAAAGCCAGGGGTGAATTTAAAAAGAAAGCGTTAGGAAAAAAAATTATTTATGACAAAGAACAGTTTTCCAAACTTGAAAGAATTGTAATTGCTAGAGCATACCGGAAGGTACTGTAGTAAATAAATGTGAAAAAAAAATATTTTTCATCAAATGGTTTTTAACGGTATCTTAAAGCTATAAATAATCTTGACACATTTTGTAATTATTTTAAATAATCTTTTTAATCAGATATTTGATTTAGGTTACCTTTAGGCAAAATGGACAGAATGCTTTAGCACAAAGGTTGCATCAATGACCCAAGTAATTATACAGGATTTACTTTAAGAAATTTTGGTTAATTATTTAAGCAGATTATAACGATATTTTAAATACTGGTACTAAGGCTGAACAATATTATGTCTTTATCGAAGCCCAATTTGTTTAAGACAAAACATTAGAACTGTAAATAAAAAATATATCTGCATTGTCTTATCACGTATATGTTAATAAGAAACTATATGCTGGACTTGAAGATTTTCCTAAGCCTTTCGACAGTTTAGTTATATATTATATGGTTTGAATTAATTAATTATGATGTTAAAGTAAAACACTCTTTGGGCTACATCTACTGTTTTACAGAGGCTTTCGTTATTTCCATGGACCTATAGCTATTTGAATTTCTACAAAACCCGTGCATAAGTTGTCACGACCGTCTTGTTGCATCCACGTGTCACATGCCCCGCTTGAAAAGGAAACGAATATTTTAACCATACTGTGTCTGTGTCAGCGTAAGCAATATACGAACTTTTCTCTCAGTAACGAAGAATAAATAGGGGTTTTCTGATGCAAGATTATTAAAACCTTCAGTTCGATAAATAAGAAATAAACTAAAGTACTTCACTTCTTCAGTGTAATATTTGTCATGTCCTTCGATATCATTAATTCCACAATTTGTAAGTGTTGAACATTGAGTTACGCTCAAGCAAGTTGGGCACGAGGGATGTTGCAGATCTTTATTTTCCCTCATGAACAGACGCAATCAAACCGAGTCTGTAATTTTCATGTAATTTTATTGAGATATATATTTCCGAGGGATCAAACATTATTCAGATTTTTAAGGAAACTTTACATCTTCTGACTCCTGCAAGTACGGGATTTACATTTATTGTTTGCAGTTTTGAGAAAACAATGTCATCGTTGGCAATAAAAATTAGTGGGATATCTAGTTTTAGCTTAATATAAGAAATTTGAAAAAAAATCCAAATATATATCATCAATTGTCATTAGTATGGTTCAGTTTGTTTAAGTTTTACTTAAAGTCTTTGTGTTGTATTTTGAACTTTATATTATCATAAGGTTAGGGTTTTGGCTGTTTTTCATAAATCACTGTATATAAGAAAGCAGATAAAAAGAGGAAGCATCAATAAAAAATGACGTTTTATCAAGAATTTAACATTATTGCGAACTTTATAAATAATATTATAGTTTTTGTCCTATTTATAATGTTATTGCAATACCATTAAAAATGCATTTTATATATTTTTACTTGGTTTTCAAGCACCTTAAATAATAACTCGACCTTATCCAAAAATAAATATCCAGTATTTTCAGGCTATAGGTTTATGATTGATATAACGCAACTCTACAGCATTGTCATCCATTAAATAATTGCTAAGGCTATGTCGTTAACCTGTCTTTTTTACGAGTAACTGCTAAACATACAAGTGTTAAGGACCTAAATATAGAATTCCTCTCGATATTGAGTTTAATGTTTTTCGTAATCAGATAGTTGAATCGACCGGGGTCTTTTCGGTTAAAGGTTATCGTCGCAAAAATAAGTAAGTAATGCATTTTTGCATGGAAACCCTGGAAACATATTTTTTTTAATTTATTGAATCAGGTATAATCGTTGAAATGAGCATCTTCTCCCATCTTAACCTAGACATATTATATCTTAGAAAAGATACATTAGCGATCCACTCTTAATTTATATTAGTCCCGACTGACAAGGCGTGCGATAACATAATTATCGTATGACGTATCTATTATGTAAATGTTTTACAAAATGAACTTAACAGTACATGTACTTATGCTTGTACTTATGCTTATTATAAAACTTTTTACCTTTGTACCTCAGAAGGATATCATTGACAGTCATAGTTCTAGTATTTCTAACTTTACAGTCCGTGTGGATGAGAAAGAACTCAAACTTCCTATAACGTACTGGATTCCAAAATACATAAACATCCATATAAGCTCTCTAGTTCTTGTAGTACAAGTAATCTTTTATTTCATTGTCTGACTTGTCTGACCGCTAATAAAGCACATGTCAGATATTGTGAATCAGTTTATGAAAATACGGGGAAATATTTTTTCTAGTCTGTTAAAAACTCAGAGTTTAAGATTAAGACTTATCAAGTTCCATCCGTTATTACTTCCGATTTCTTTACCCTATATACTACATTTCCACATAAAGTTATCAGAGATGAATTGTAATCTATAATTTTAAAAAGAGAGAAAACGTTACTTTCCTTGTTTGCTCAAAAAATTGGCTTTCTGTGCCAATTTTTTTATTAGACAATATACGATGTGGACCAAGTAGGTAAAGCACTCTCATGTTTGTTAGAAAACTTCTATATCAGGTTCTGCAATGCAGTTTTCAAACAGTTATATTCATTCCATTGGGAATTTATTGTGCACGTCAACAGCTGATCTATTTTACATTGCTATGAGAGATTTTATGTTAAGCCTCTATCTTAATTCACAATAGGAAACTACATTTGCATTTAATAACAATTCTCACTACCTAAACTACCTAGATAATATTCTTTAAAAAAAATCCCTATTTTAATCAAAAGAATACTAAAATATATTCCAGTGAACTTCCAATGATCATGGGTAATAGATTTTTTTCTGTTGTGGTCACTAAACATTTTATGACACGAGTTTATGACAATCTTTTTTTTTCAGGCATACCTCATGCTTGGTGTTTAACCCTTTTATAGTTCGACGATATGCTTTTTATCATCTTTTCCTCTTTTGATTGCATCTGACGGGCCAAGTCTATTTTAGACAGTTCAAAAAGCCTTTTGGATTGAATTGAATCGATGTCTGTCTTCTGTCTTCCTTCGTCG